TTTTTTTTTTTTAAGAGATAAGGTCTTGAGGCAGAGGTGGACAGATCACTTAAAGTCAAGAGTTCAAGACCAGCCTACCCAACATGGTGAAAAAGTCTCTACTAAACATACAAAAATTAGCGTGGCGTGATGGCACATGCCTGTAGTCCCAGTGACTTGGGAGGCTGAGGCAGGAGAATGGTTTGATCCTGGGAGGTGGAGGTTGCAGTGAGCCAAGATTGTACCATTGCACTCCAGCCTGGGCAACAGAGTGAGACAGCTCTGTCTCAAAAAAAAAAAAAAAAAAGAGAGAGAGAGAGAGAGTGGCCCAGGTTGAAGTGCAGTGGCATGATCATGGCTCACTACAGCCTAAAACTCCTGGACTCAAGCAATTCTCCTTCCTCAGCCTCCCCAGTCGCTAGGATTGCAGGAACACACCACACTACCACACCTGGCTAATTGTTTTTTAATTTTTTTTAGAGACAAACTCTCATATATTGCCCAGACTGGTCTCAAACTCCTGGGCTCAAGTGATCCTCCCATCTCAGCGTACCGAAATGCTGAGATTACAGGCATGAGTCACTGCACCCAGCTAAAATGTCAACATTAACAGAAGTTTGAAAAAAGTTGATACCAACCCTCATAGATGACTTTCAGAGGTTTAAATCTTCAGTTGAGAATTAATTCTTTAATTTCTACTGCAGAGGTGGTAGAAACAGCAAGGGGACTATAATTAGAAGTGATGCCTGAGCGCCGGGCCTCCTGTGGCCTCACGGGCCCTGCGCGTGTGGCTGTGGCTGCAGCGCGCTGCACACCAAAGGAGACAAAGCTTTTGTTGATTTCCTGAGTGATGAAATTAAGGAAGAAAGAAAAATCCAGAGGCATAAAACCCTCCCTAAGATGTCTGGAGGTTGGGAGCTGGAACTGAATGGGACAGAAGCTAAATTAGTGCGGAAAGTTGCCACGGGAAAAATCACTGTCACTTTCAACATTAACAACAGCATCCCACCGACATTTGATGGTGAGAAGGAAACCTCGCAAGGGCAGAAGGTTGAAGAACAGCAGCCTGAATTGACATCAACTCCCAATTTCATGGTTGAAGTTACAAAGAATGATGGCAAGAAGGCCCTTGTGCTGGACTGTCATTATCCAGAAGATGAGGTTGGACAAGAGGATCAGGCTGAGAGTGACGTCTTCTCTATCAGGGAAGTTAGCTTTCAGTCCACAGCGACTCTGAATGGAAGGTTACTAATTATACACTCAACACAGAGTCCCTGAACTGGGCCTTATATGACCACCCAATGGATTTCCTTGTGGACCGAGGGCTAGACAATACTTCTGCAGATGAGTTGGTGGAGCTCAGCACAGCCCTGGAGCACCAGGGGTACATTACTTTTCTTGAAGACCTCAAAAGTTTTGTCAAGAGCCAGTAGAGCAGACAGACACTGGAAGTCATAGTTTTATGGCAGGCTTTGGCCATTGAACAAATCCGACTCTGAAGCTGGACACATACTTTGAAATGATTATCATCCTAATATCGTGGGGAAAAAATACCAAATTTAAATGATATGTTTTACACTCTCATTTATTACCATTTTTTCTATACAAATCTATTATTTGTAGATTTTTGTATAACATAATAGACAATAAAATTGGTTTATCTCCTCAAAAAAAAAAAAAGTGATGCCTATAAGATGTGACTGAAATGTTTCAGTCTCGTCATAAAACTTAAACAAATGAGGAGTTTCTTCTTATGAATAAGCAAAGAAGGTGATTTCCTATTTTTTTTATTTTATGTTAGGTTCTGGGATTCATCACCTAGGTATTAAGCCCCACATGCATTAGCTATTTGTCCTGATGCGCTCCGTGCCCCCCAGCAGGTCCCAGTGTGTGTTGTTCCCCTCCTTGTGTCCATGTGTTCTCGTTGTTCAGCTACCACTTATGAGTGGGAAAATGCAGTGTTTGGTTTTTTGTTGCTATGTTAGTTTGCTGAGGATGATAGCTTCCAGCTTCAACCATGTCCCTGCAAAGGACATGAACTCATTCCTTTTTACGGCTGCATAGCATTCCATAGTGTATATGTGCCACGCTTTTTAAATTCAGTCTATTATTGATGGGTATTAGGGTTGATTCCATGTCTTCGCTTTTGTGAATCGTGCTGCAATAAACATATATGTGCATGTATCTTTATAATAGAATGATTTATATTCCTTGGGGTATATACCCAGCAATGGCGCTACTCAGCCAAACGGAATTTCTGGTTCTAGATCCTTGAGGAATTACCACACTTCCTTCCACAGTGGTAGAACTAATTTACATTCCCACCAACAGTGTAATAGCATTCCTATTTCTCCACAGCCTTGCCAGCATTTGTTGTTTCTTGGCCTTTTAATAATCGCCATTCTGACTGGTGTGAGATGGTATTTCATTGTGGTTTTGATGTGTATTTCTCTAATGATCAGTGATTTGAACTTTTTTTCATATGTTTGTTGACTACATAAAATGTCTTCTTTTGAGAAGTGTCTGTTCATGTTCTTTGCCCACTTTTTGATGACCACTTTTTTTTTCTTGTAAATTTAAGTCTCTTGTAGATTCTGGATATTAGACCTTTGTCAGATGGGTAGATTGGAAACATTTTCTCCCATTCTGTAGGTCGCCTATTTGCTCTGACGGTAATTTCTTTTGCTGTGCAGAAGTGCTTTAGTTTAATTAGATCCCATTTGTCAAAAAATATGGAACACTTCACAAATTTGCTTATCATCCTTGCTCAGCGACCATGCTAATCTTATCTATATCATTCCTGCTTTAGTATATGTGCTGCTGAAGCAAGCAGGAAACTGTTTTTTTGAGATGGAATCTGCTCCTGGTGAAGATGCTGTGAACATTGTCGAAATGACAAGAATTTAAAACTTATTTATTTTGTTTTTTGAGGTAGGGTCTCACATTGTTGCCCAGGCTGGAATGCAGTGGCATGATCATGGCTCACTGCAGCCTTGGCCTTCCAGGCTCAAGCAATCCTCCCACCTCAGCCTCCCACGTAGCTGGGACTATATATGTACACCACCACACCCAGCTAATTTTTGCGTTTTTTGTAGAGACAGAGTCTTGCTCTGTCGCCCAGGCTGAAGTGCAATGGCATGCTCACAGCCCACTGCAGCTTCAACCTCTTGAGCTTCAGCAGTCTTGCCACCTCATCCTCCTTAGTAGCTAGAACTGCAGGTGTGTGCCACTATATCCAGCTATATTTTTGTATTTTTTGTAAAGATGGGGTTTTACCACATTACCCAGGTTGATCTCGAACTCCCAGGCTCAAGCGATCCTCCTGCCCTAGTGTCCCAAAGTGCTGGGATTACAGGCATGAGCCACTTCCAGAGCCTTATTGCATACTTAATAGACTACAGAATAGTGTAAACATAACTTTATATGCATTGGGAAATCCAAATATTTGTGTGACTTACCGTATTGCAATGTTTGGAGCTCAACCTGCAAAGTCTCCAAGGTATACCTGTACGACATTCTGGAAAATTAAACTAGGAAGACAGTAAGAAGATCAGTCGTTGCCAAGAGTTGGTAGGAAAAGGGATGAATAGGCAGAGCAAAAACAATTTTTATGCCAGTGAAACTACTCCATATGCTACTATAATGGTAGATTATAATTTGTCTAAACCCGTGAATGTACAACACCAAGAGGGAAGCCTAATGTAAACTACAGACTTTGGGTAATTATGATTATGATGGTTCATGTATTGCAAAGAATGTACCACTCTGGCAGAAGATGCTGAAAATGGGGGAAGCTATGCATGTGGTGGGGAAGGGCGTATACAGGAAATCTCAGTGCTTTCTGTTTAATTCTGCTGTGAGCCTAAAACTGCTCTTAAACTCTTTTAAAAAATAAATAAAAATACATATGCATAAAAATGTGTAAAGTATTCTCAAAGTCCAACCTCTCTACCCCAGATCTAAAAACATTTAAGAATGTATTATATATTATATTTCTTTATAGACTTTTTTTTTTT